GGGGGGGCTGGGAGAGAAGAAGGAGGGGTCCCAGGGGGCTGCTGTCCCCAAGGCGGAAAGGACCTCATGGTCTCTGCCTGCTGGGGATGATGCCTTCACAAGAGTCCCTCTAGCTCTGACGGCTCTGGCCCTACTCTCTTCTGCCACATCCGCCCCCCTCAGCCTCTCCCCGCAGGGCCTGGCCTTTTCCTCCTCGGGGCTGCGCATCTTCTCCACCACATGGGCCCACAGTTGGCCTGAACCCCAAATATCTCTGTGTCGGGAAGGACTTGAGAGGTTGTCCAGCCCAACTCCTCTATGTTACAGAGGAGGAAACCGAGGCCCAGAGATGACATCACGTGCCCCAAGTCGAATGGGAAGTGGGTTTTTGCAGGAGGCCCCATTTTGGTCTCAGAGTGAAAGTTCTATGTGATCCGAACCCAGACAACTCACAGTAAAGGATTTCATAGTCTCCAGAATTTGACACGAGGAATTGTGAGTTTACAGACCAGTCCAGGTGAGTGATGAAGCTGGAATGACCCTGGGAGAAAAGCATCGTGGGAGTTTCCCTCGCCTCATACATTCCTGAACAACACTATACTGACGTCATAAATTGATGACACATGTGTCCACGAGAAGGCACAAGAAACACTTACCGAGCATTTGCCAACTCTCGTGTACTTCCTCCCGTTGTCGCTGACTCCGTATATATAGATACAGTTGTCATGGGAGCCTATGGCTAAGAAATTCCCGTCTACAGAAATACGACAGATTACAGTTCAATTGTTAAAAATAAACATTGTATCAATTACAAGGGATAATGCTAGTTGCCATCACAGATTTAGGAAAAATAGCCAGATTAATGAACTATTTCAAAGAGAAAAATTTGCTTTTGAATGAATCCTATACCATTTCCAGAACTATTTTTTGAAAATCCACATCTGACCAGATTCCTCCTGTTATAAAACCCTCCTCTGGCTGTCCCCACCACAAAAGGATCCGCCCCCCCGCCCTCCCCCTGCACATACTGGCCCCCCTCTGCCTGGAAGGCCCCTCCTGCCTCTCTTCCAATGGGCCATCAGTTAGCATCTTCTTCACCTGGACTTCTGGCCTCAAGGAAGCCTAAGGAATCAGTCTGCGATGCTCACGTAGAAAGACAAGGGAAGGAGCTCATTGTAATAAAATGGTCTCAAGGTAAGAATTACCTTATCACTTAACTCTAAAATGAGATCTTTTTCATAATGGAACCATTGTTATGATTTTGACTACTCCACCTCTATGGTTTTGACTACTCTAAGTACCTCATATAAGTGGAATCATACAATATCATCCTTTTGTGACTGGCTTATTTTACTTAGCATAGTGCCCTCAAGATTCATATATCCCATTGTATGGATATACCACGTTTTGTTTACCCATTCATCTGTTGATGGACACTTTGGTTGCTTCCACAGTTTAGCTATTGTGAATAACGCTGCTATGAACATGGTGTACAAATATCTCTTTGAGATTCTGCTTTTTAATTCTTTTGGATACGTATCCAGAGGTAGAATTGCTGGATCATATGCTAATTCTATTTTTAATTTTCTGAGGAACCGCCATACTGTTTTCCACAATGGCTGTATCATTTTACATTCCCACTGACAGTATAGAAGGGTTCCAATTTCTCCACATCTTCACCAGCACTTGCTGTTTTCTGTTTTTTTTTGGAAGTAGCCATCGTAATGGGTGTGAGGTGGTATCTCATTGTAGTTTTGATTTGCATTTCCCTAATGATTAGTGAAGTTGAGCATGTTTTCATGTGCTTATTGGTCATTTGTAGATCTTCACTGGAAAAATGACTATTCAAGTCGTTTGCCCATTTTTGATTGGGTTGGTTGTTTGTTTTTTCTCACTCCAGAAACACATGCACAGCTGCCTGCCTGGGGGCTAGGAGGTGGGGAATGGGCAGCTGCTACTGTGCTAAGGGCTGAAATTGACCAAAATTAACCAAAATTTACCATCCAAGCCTTTCTCTAGAAGTTGCAAGCCTTCAACAGACCCTCGAGTTCCAAAATAGTCACACCAGACAGATCCTGCCAGTGCCATTGTTGTCCAGGCGGGGAGACAGATTCCTGGGTGATTCCTACTCCATTATCTTCCAGAATCCTCTCTCATCACCTCCCACCTTTAAGACTCAACTTTGAGGTATAATTTACATGCAATAAAAGGCACACATTTTAAGTGTACAGTTCAAAGAGTTTTGACAACATACCTGTGTAACTACCATCTCCATATCTATAAATAATTGAACCCAAGCAGGAGCCAGTAACCTACAATGGTATAGCCTATGTGCTGGAAAAATCTTGCATGCAACCAGAAAACTCACACTGCTGATCACATTCTGCTTTGCATCCAGTCAGCTGCATTGTAGTTAGTTTGTCTGCATTCATGCATGCAACTAGTATTTACCGTTTGCATCTACTCCCAGCCAGATGCTGGCCATACTGTGCTGAACAAAATGGGGTCCCTACCATTATGGGACTCTGGGCCACTCCCTGAGGATCTGGGGCCACCACCACTGCCATCACTGATGATGACACCACATCACCATGACATCCACATAATGCTCCACTCTTCAAAGAGCACATTCACACCCACTCTTTCAGTTGAGCCTCACAATAACTTGCTATCTGATTTGACAAGGGTCACTTGGTTAATGAAGAGAGGGCACTGAATCCAAATGTGGGTTGCCCTAACTTGGCCCAGAGTGATCCAGGGCCACAGAGCCTCCAGTGAACGACTCTGAAGCCCGAGAAGCAGAGTTACTGGTAGAAAAAGTTCTCTGGTCTCCAGGGAATGGTCATTAGTATAAGTGACAAGAAATTGAAATATACTCCCAAAAGAACCCTGCTTGTGTGAGCAAGAGCTGGTAGATATCCGAGGGCTTTCTAGGAAAAGACGCTGCAGATGAGGCCCCTCTTGCACTTAGCAGAGGTTCAAAATAACTAAGAAAATGATGACAAACACATAAAAGGATGCAAAATATTGGCTAGAATTAACAGAATGAAATATGATACTTAAAAAGTCAAGAACGACAGGCATTCTGAGTTGAGTAAGCTCCTCTCACCATGGAGAAAAGGTTCCTAAGGTGTCTGGGTAGTTGTCTGTTTAGGGTGAGAAGTTATGAATTTTGTTCAGGCACAAGGAAAAAACATCCAAAAGGGGTGCTCTTTCTATAAGGTCACCTCTAGAGATCAAGAACGCAGCCCTACCAAGAGGAAGAGATGATTTCAATTAGCTTATGAAAGAGAAGATTCTTATGGAGCAGCAGCAGCTCAGTCTTGGCAAAGTATTTCCAAGGACAAAAACTGCTATTTCCAAGAGTGTTCACGTAGCCGAATATCCTGCATATCACAGAAAAATAGTATGTCCCAAAACACGAGCATACGATGACAAGGCTTAGAAACAATGAGCAGCAATGAGCACTCCTAGCGCCCAGTCAAAAGGACTAAGGAGGCACCCTGAAGTGGCTTCCACGGGCCAGTGACGGATAAATTGGTCCACCTATTGTAACTATCATAGATTGAAACATAGCAAATATACTTAAACTCATAATGGCACCAAAACCACCACCACCACCGATTGGGCACTGTTAAAGAGTGCAGAGAACAAACGTATTACCTTGCAGATTGGTAAATAAAGTGAAAGAAACCAAATGTTTATCTTTACTTTCCCATATGAACTCTACCATACTACTGGGTAAGAAAATAGTATATTACTTGGTAACAAAACAGTAGATGAAGAGAAGTTTCTCTTTATGGAAGTATCATATCTAATAAATGAAGAAGAAAAGCTAAAATTGGAAAATCAATCACTTGCAACCCCTTATAGATCTAGGCATTGTGCATCAACAGCTTCTAATATCACAGAAAGCGAGACAGCAGACAGGATGTGTCTCCTGTAGGAAGAAGACACCAACACACATAGAACCTGAATAGGATCAAGTCTCCAGATCCACACATCACTTTACAGGAAATACAGGGGACAGAGGAACATGTTAAACAACACCACAGGATGTACTTAGCAAAATCCAGTATGGAAAATGCTACAGGAGAAACAAGCCAGTTTCTTTGACAAGTAGAGAGAGAGAGAGAGAGAGAGAGAGAGAGAGAGTGAGCGCATAAGCAACTGTGGATTAAAAGAGACTTATGAGGCATATTAACCAATTACCACATGTGGACCTTTTTTTGGATCCTGATTTAAACTGTTAAGAAAAAAAAGTCAAGGGCCGGCCCCATGGCTTAGCGGTTAAGTGCGCGCGCTCCGCTGCTGGTGGCCTGGGTTCGGATCCCGGGGGTGCACCAACGCACTGCTTCTCTGGCCATGCTGAGGCCACGTCCCACATACAGCAACTAGAAGGATGTGCAGCTATGACATACAACTATCTACTGGGGCTTTGGGGGAAAAAAAATAAATAAATAAAATTACAAAAAGAAAAAAAAGTCAATTGAAAATTTCAGTACTGACTACATATCTGATGATATTAAGAAGTTAATATTAATTTGGGTTGGGGAGGTGTCAATGATACTGTGGCTATGTTAAAAACAAGAGGGCAGGATTTCTAGCTGTGGCCAAGTAAGAAGGCTGGCAAATCCTCTCCCCATAAAGCAATTATAAAGCTGTATAAAGCTGTATAAAGCTGACAAAAACAACCATTTAAGCACTCTGGAAATTGATCAAAGACAGAAAACCATCTGAGAGGTGTTTATGCTTGAAAAACTACTGAATGTCAGGTAAGAACACTGTGAGTCCATGGTGCTCTTACCTGGGGCTGCTCTCGCCCCTCACACCTGCTCGGCTGGCTCAGAGGTTCTGCCAGGGAAGAGCAGGCTGTGAGGATCAGCAGCTTTGTTGCTTTGGTCAAGGCGGCTTACTCAATATGAAGCTCTGGGTGACACCCATGTCCAGAGGCATTGTCAACAGATGTGACAATCTCTAGGGCGATTGAGTGGGGAGGGCCAATGGCTCTACTAGCCTGAACTTACGGTTGTGGTTGGAGTGAGCACAGTCCTGGCTAATGGGAGGCTGCACACATGCACAGAGAAGATGCAAAAGGGCCAGCAGAAAGTAAAAGCTAGGGCAGACCTGGAAATGGCCTGAACTGTGAATTTGCTTTTCTACCTGCACACACATCCACTGGCAGAGGATAGAAACCTTACTGGTCTAAGGTGTTTGAGCACAACCTCTGTCTAATCCTTCATTCAAAATACAGAAAGCAAAAACTGAGAGAGTCAAAAAGAGAAATTATCAATTCCACAATAATAGCTGGAGATTTCAGTACATCACTCTCAACAACTGATAGAACAATTAGACAGAAAATTGGCAAGGATATGGATGAATTGAACAATGCTATCAAGCAACTCTGAACATTATCAACCAACGTGTCCTAACTGACATATATAGGACATTCCACCCAAGAATGCAGAATACACATTCTTCTCAAGTATACCTGGAACATTCTTCAGGACAGACTACGTGCTAGGCTCTAAAGCAAGTCTCAATGAATTTTAAGTGATTAAAGTTACACAAAATATGTATGACCACAGTGAAGTTAAATTAGAGAACAACAGAAAGAAATATGGAAAACCTCTAAATATTTGGAAATTAAACAATACATTTCTAAATAACCCAGAGGCCAAAGAAGAAATCATCAAGGAAATTAGGAGATAATTTGAACTGAATGAAAATGAAAACACAATATATCAATATTTATGGGATATGGCTAAAGCAATGCCTAAGGGGAAATTTATAGCTTTAAACATCTACACCAGAAAAGGTCTCCAACCAATAACCTAAGTTTTCACCTTAAGAAACTAAAAAAAGAAAAGCAAACTAAATATAAATCAAGCAGAATAAAGGAGATGATAAAGATCAGAACAGGAAAAAAAAAATAGAAAACAGAAAAACAATAAAGAAAAATCAATGAAACCAAAAGTTGTTTCTTTGAAAAGATCAACAAGTTGACAAACCTTTAGCTAGATTGACCAAGAAAAAAAGAGAGAAGACAAAGTTTCCAGAATCAAGAATGAAAGAGGGGACCTCACTACCAACCTCACAAAAATTAAAAAGATTTTAAGCAAATATTACGAACAATTTTATGCCAACAAATGAGACAACTTAGATGAAATGCACAAATTACCCAAACTGACTCAAGAAGAAATAGAAAATCTGAATAACAAAGAAATTGAATTAGTAATTAAAAATCTTCCCACAAAGAAAAGCCCAGATGGTTCACTGAATTCATATGAATTCTATCAAATATTTTATAAAGAAATAATACCAATCTTTCACAAACTGTTTCAGAAAATAAACAAGGAAGGAACATTTCCCAACTTACTCTGTAAGACCAAACAGTGCTCTCATAACCAAGTCAGACAAAACCATCACAAGAAAAGAAAACTACAGACCAATATCCCCCATGAACATGGATGAAAAATCCTTAACAGAATATTAACAAATGGAATCCAGCAAAATATAAAAAGGATCATACACCACGATCAAGTGAGATTTACTCCAGGGATGCAAAATGGTTTAACACCTGAAAATTAATGTAAGACACCATATTAATCAAATAAAGGACAAAGACCACATGATCATCTCAATAGATGCAGAAAAAGCATTTGACAAAAATCCAACAGCCATTCATGATAAAAGCTCTAAACAGATTAGGAACAGAAGGGAACTTCCTCATCATGATAAAGAGCATCTGGCCTCATACTTAATGACTAATGACTGAATGCTTTGCCTCCTAAGATTGGTAGCAAGGCAAGGATCCACTCTTGCCACTTCTGTACAAAATTGTATTGGAGGTTCTAGCCAATGCAATAAGGAAAAAAATAATTAAAAGCATCCAAAGATTGGAAAGGAAGAAGTAAAACTGTCTTTGCAGATGACATGACCCTGTATGAAGAAAATCCCAAGGATTCTATACGAGCACATACACACACAAAACTACTAAAACTAATAAAAGAGTTTAGAAAGGTCACAGGATATAAGATCTATGGGCTAAAATTAATTTTATTTCTCTGTACGAGCAACTAGCGTTCTGAAAATAAAATTAAGAAAACAATTCCATTCACAATGGCATAAAAATAACTTAGCAATAAATTTAACAAAAGAAGTATAACACCTGTGCAATGAAAACCGTAAAACTGCTGAGGAAAATTAAAGAAGATCTAAATAAACGGAGAAACATTCTATATTCAAGGATTTGAAGACTCAATACCGTCAAGATAGCAGTTCTCCCAACACTGATCTCTAAATTCAACATAATCCCTATTACAGTCCTGGTAGGCTTTTTAAAATTAGAAATTGACAGATTGATTCTAAAATTTATGTAAAAATGGTAAGGACCTAAAATAGCCAAAACAGTTTTGAAAAAAAAAACAAAGTTGGAGGAGTTACACTACTTGATTTCAAAACTTACTCTAAACACACAGTAATCAAGACTGTGTGGTGTTGGCACAAGGATAAACATCTAGGTGAATGGGACAGAACTGAGAATCCTGAAATAAATCTTTATGTTTATGGCCAATTTATTTATTTATTTATTTTGCTGAGGAAGATTGGCTCTGAGCTAACATCCGTGCCCATCTTCCTCTATTTTGTATATGGGATGCTGCCGCAGCAGGGCTTGATGAGCTATGTGTAGGTCCGCGCCCAGGATCCAAACCTGCACACCCAGGGCTGCCGAAGTGGAGTGCGCAAACTCTGCTATGAACCACTATACCACCGGGCCGTATGGCCAATTGATTTTTAACAAAAGTGTCAAGACAATTAAATAGGGAAAGAATTGTCTTTTCAACAAATGGTGCTGGGACAACTGGATATCCACATGCAGAACAAAGAAACTTAGATTCTTTCTTCTCACCACACACAAGAATTAACTCAAAAAGAGTCATAGACCTAAATGTGAGGGCTAACACAATGACTTTTCTAAAAGAAAGCATAGGAGAAAATCTTCACAATCTTGGGTGTGACACCAAAAGCATGATCCATAAAAGAAAAAATTGATAAACTGCACTCCACCAAAATTAAAAGTTTATGTTTCAAAAGACCCCGTTAAGAAAATGAAAAGACAAGCCATGCACTGGGAGAAAATATTTGAATCATATATCCGACAAAGAACTTTTTTTTTTTTTAGTAAATTGCACTTTTTTCTTTCTTTTTTTTGTTTATAATTTTATTTATTTATTTTATTTTTTACCCCAAAGCCCCAGTAGATAGTTGTATGTCATAGCTGCACATCCTTCTAGTTGCTGTATGTGGGACGCGGCCTCAGCACGGCCAGAGAAGCGGTGCATCGGCGCACGCCCAGGATCCGAACCTGGGCCGCCAGCAGCGGAGCGTGCGCACTCAACCGCTAAGCTACGGGGCCGGCCCCCCGACAAAGAACTTTTATACAGAATATAGAAAGAGCTCTTATAACTCAATTGTAAAACAAACAACCCAATTAAAAAATAGGCAACATATTTGAATAGATATTTCACCAAAGAAGATATAGGAATGGCTAATAGGCACATGAAAAGATGCTCACCATCTTTGATAGTAACTAGGGAAATGCAAATTAAACCCACAGTGAGATACCACTACACCTCTATTAGAATGGTGATAATAAAAAGACAGACAATAATAGGTGTTGGTGAGGATGTGGAGACGCTAGAACCCTCACACATCGCTGGTGGGAATGTAAAATGGTACAGCCACTTTGGAAAGCAGTTCGGCAGTTTCATAAAATGTTAAACATAAATTTACCATACAATCTACCAATTTTGTTCTTAGGAATTTACCCAAGAGAAATTAAAACAAATGTCTACAAAAAGACATATAACGAATGTTTACAGAAGTGTTATTCATAATAGTCAAAACCCAGAAACAATCCAAACGTCCATTAACTGAGGAATGGATAAACAAACTGTGGTATAACCATAAAATGGAATACTATCCAGTAATTATAAAGGAATAAACTACCAATATACACACACAATAACATAAATTAATCTCAAAAACATTATCCTAAGTAAAAGAAGCCAATTGCAATAGGCTACATATTATATGACTCCATTTATACAAAAAGTCCAGAAAAGGCAATTATAGAGACAGAACAGCAGTGGTTGCCTAGGGCTGGGGGTGGCAGTGGAGATTAATTGCTAATGGGCAGGGAGGGAACTTTTTGGGGTGATGGAAAGGTTCTGAAATTGGTTTGGGGTGATGGTTGTACAACTCTATGAATTTACTAAGAATCACTGAATTGTACATTTATAATGGGTAAATCGTATGTACATTATAGCTCAATAAAGCTATTAAGAAAAGAGTCCTCATCTTTTTGAGATGTATAATCTCAAATATGTATCTCAAATAAGGACAATATTAACAGATGAAAGGATAAGATGTCTGGGAACTGCTTCAAAATAATATGGAATGGGGTCCGTGGGTAGGGTTACAGATGAGCAAGATTGGCTAAGAGTTGATAATGTTGCACCTGGGTGATGGGTACATGGTCGTTCATTATGCTATTCTGCCTAATTTTGTCTGTTTAAAATTTTCCATAATAAAAAGTGAATATACACACAAGCATAGGGACCCAGGGAGGGAAGAGAATACCAAAATGCCACAATTATTTGCATGTATAGTTTAAATTTCACTCTGAGGTGGGGCCAACCCCATGGCATAGCGGTTAAGTTTGCGTGCTCCGCTTTGGTGGCCCGAGGTTCGCCAGTTTGGATCCTGGGCGCGGACCTACTCACCGCTCATCAAGCCATGCTGAGTAGGCGTCCCACATAGAAGAGCTACAACTCTACAACTATGATATACAACTATGTACTGGGGCTTTGGGGAGAAAAAAGAAAAAGAGGAAGATTGGCAACAGACGTTAGTGCAGGGTCACTCTTCCTAAAACAAACAAAAAAAAAGCTTTCCTTAACAAAGAGTTTAAAAAAAAATTCCACTCTGATGAGGCTTGTGGAATATTTTCTTTAAAGACACCTACCCAGAATTTCATAAATCTGTTGGAATTTTACAGAAGGGAATGGTTCGTATTCTGACCTGGGGAGTAACGCATTACAGAGAGCTGTTCATTTCCATCTGTGTGAACAGTGACCAAGTCTTTTGTTTCCGTGTCAAACACAAACCACCTGTAATAAACAGGAGAAAAAGTACAATAAGTTGTTTAGTGAGAAAATGAAGTAAGACTATTACAATAATAGTAAGACTATTAAAAACTGGTAATCTAAGAGCTCAATAAATACTCGGTATTTGCTTAACAAGAATGCTTATTCCCAGCTTTTATTTAAGGAAGATTTCCTCCCTACGAGCATTTCCTCAGGAAGGAAGAGCACATTGGCTATTTGAAATGAGTCAGCTCCCCATGCTATGACAGGGCTCCTCAGCGTTTGAGCTTTGTCACTTACATCTAAAAGGAGAGACAGCCCTGGGAAGATGGACCAACACCTGATGCCGGCTATGGCCAGAGGAAGCACAAAGGGCCACCTGCACGAGCTGGCCCAGAGATGTGGCCTGGGGCGAAGGAGGGTGGGTCCGGAGGATGGGGCTGGGACAACCTCAGGGTGGGGATGTTCTGACCTGTGCTGGGAGAGCAGAGGCGGTCTGACCTTCTGTGAATGCTGGTGTGCACCAGCCGGGTGAGAGAGAGAACAGAGAGAACGGAAGAAGGGCGAGTAGAGGACTTGTCTTTGATTAACCTCTCTGGGATCAGTTTCCTTAACTGTAAAATGGGGATAAGGGCCCAGAACTACTTTGCAGGCTGGGTGATAAATTATAACGGACATGGAAGTGCTTCGTGTCCTCTGCTAAGGACACGGTCCTCAATGAATGTTAAATGAGGGATGACTGCACTCTCCTGCCCATATGTTCTCAGGTGGTGGCAGTAAGTGGGACGCCAGTGTTTTCAGGGATGGAAAGGAATGTGGGCTCCCTGGTGCTGCAGTTTCAAACCTAGATGACACACATTCCATCAGCACATCCACTGAGCCAGCATCACTGTCTTCTCGCCTTCCATTCAGGGCCCTAACCATCACCACTCAACGGGACTGGCTGTCCCCCTAAAATTTGGATTTGGCTTCTCAGCTTTGATTCCTTTGCATCTTCAACAACCATTTACCTTTAATGTGCTATTTAACCTTAACAGAGGTCAAAACATAAGAAGCAGAGAGACTGGGGCTGACGAGGCTCTGCCTTTGAAAAGTCCTGTTAAACTGCCCCATCAAGAGCTAAGCCTGGCACTAGGACCAGAGATGGGGGAGGCATAACGGAGAAGAGGGATTAGGTTGCATATTCCAACCCTTCCATCCATAGGACACTGTCCGTGATTCTGAGAATCCTGGCATCACCATATCCTATTGACCATGCATAGTTAGCATGTATATGCTGGCAATAATGAGTGACAGCCGTTCATCAGAGCCTGCTGAGTCTGAAGTTTCAGCGGTCTCCAAGAGAGTTAAAAGGAAAGGGTGTGTGTGTGTGTGCGAGTGTGTGTGTGTGTGTGTGTGTGTGTGGCTACGCAAACATTTTCATGAAGAATTCTGTTGGATGCAAGGTGCCCAGCTCTTCAGATTTTGCTATCTGTGACTTATAAATGGTTACTCTTACTGTTTATATACTCTACAGTCATAACGACAGAATCTAAGTAGTACGCTTTTTAGAGAGGGAGGACGGGAGGAAATCACCAAAAATATCTGAATTAAACCATAAAAAGTGTATATACTATGACAGACAACACAAAAGTGCAATTGAAACTTAAAAAAACAATGATAATAATAACCACTGAAACTGCCTAGCAGGCAACCCCAGCAGATGCCTCCTATATTGTCTCCTTCAATCTTCAGTGCAGTGTGGCTAGGCAGATAATACTGTCATAATTTATAGAAAAAGAAACAAACTCACAGAGGTTATGTAACTGGCTCAGAGACACACAGCTGCTAAGCGGTGGAGCTGGGATTCAAGCGCAGATCTACTGCCCGGCATATCGGAGGCGCTTGGTAAATAAATGTTAGCTGAATCTGAATATGAGGCTCAGAATCTGGGCAGTTTCTAAAATTTTGCAAGTGCAGCAAGAGGAAGCATTTTTAAATTCTCAGCACTTCGAAATGCTGTCTCGCCTGATTCCAAAGTCGAGGCCCCTCCCACAGCCTGCAGATCAGAGCCTGAGGAGCCTCCAGAGCCTCTGAAATTAGAGGCAAAGGTGTGTGTGTGTGAGGGGGCACTTTTCTGGGAGAGGGGTCCATAGCTCTCCTCAGATTTTCCCAAGATCCAAAACGTGAAGGACCACCGTCTTAACATTTTACTTTTGAGTTTTGACTTAATTCCTGGTAAGTCACTAGAAGCAGAGAAGGGCAGCCGATGGCTAACCCGCCTGTCCTGGGGAAATACAGACAACGAGCCTGGTTCCTATGAACTCTGAAAGCACACGTCACGCTGATACGGACTCACCTCCCAGTCAGTGTTCCAACCGCAACCACAGACCCTGAAGGATGAAAACCAGAAGACTGAGCTGGATCCTAAAATATTTTAAAGGAAGTGTAAATTGATGGCCAGACACAGCACTATCGCATAAAATACACACAAGCCCAGCTCTAATCCCGCAGAGCTACTGGGCCCCATTTGAAAAACCTCTTCTCTCCAGAGAGGAAAATGCTTTCCTACTTGGATGAAGGTCACGTTTCAATAACACAAATTTTTATCCTTTTAGAATTTTTCTCTTTCTGTCTTATATCCTTTCATATCTACAGTAACCAGATGCCAGACCAACAAACAAACGCTCTTCTTCCAAGTCCTGGAAGCCCCTTTGGCTGACCCCACGCTGAATGGAAGCCTGTCGAATAGTGTGCTTGATCTTCTGGAAATACGATCACTGCCCCAATTCCATCAGGGAGATACTGGGTGAGTGCCCACTGGGTGCAAGACACCACGGCAGCCCTGGAAGGATCCCGAGTGAGTAAGGCACATCCCAGGTTTTGATCTAGTGCTACATACACGTGTTCATCACTAACTCTGACACAAGGCAGAACGTGATCAATAAAAGAGGTAAAAACAAGCTGTCGAGTCACCGGGAGGGGAGTTGGATGAAGCGAGACGGGGGAACTGGGCCGAGGCTTCCTGGTGCAGACAGCCTTCGGCTCTGGCCTGCCAGCACAGGAAGCGTCATCACTGGTGAAGGGGGAAGCAGACACGCCAACATTTTCTGGGATCAGGTGTTAAGGGGACAATCTAAGAGGTAGAAGCACCGCGGTCGGGAGCGTGTTTGAGGACGGGCAGGAGGAGTCAGTACGTTTACAGCGCAGAATCTATGGGGGAGGGGACAGAAAAGGGCAGGGATGACACTAGTAATGTGGCTGCACTGCCACGTAAGGACTGTGATCACTAGGAGATCAGAACACAGTGAGGGAGACTGTTTTTCTTTCAATAAAAAGAGTGACATGACTGAATCTGTGGTTTAGACAGCAGATCACTCGGCAGAGTGTTTAGGTGGATGGAAGTGAGACGTGATTAATCACAGGACGACCAAGAAGAAAGGAGCGATGGAAATGGAGATAGAAGGAGGCAGTGGGACACCAGAGGGTGAACTAAAAGAATAAGAGACCAGAAACTGTTCAGGCGTTGATCACATGACTGCAACGCATGCGCCAGAGCGGGGGCTGCAGTTAAGCTCAGGGCTGCCACGGACCCACACAGAGAAATCACGTCCCCTTGAAGCTTCGCCATATAATTCATTTGAGGCTCATAACACTTTTGAGATGAAGACACTGGGTCCAGGGAGGGTCCTGTCCAAAGCCACATGGCCAGTGGGTAAAGGAGCTAGGACTTAACCACACATCTTTTTGGTGTCTGGTTCTGAGCCCGTACCCTCCGTCAGGCTGAGTGGGTTAGAGTCTGGTAAAGGACAGCGGATGGAGGAAACGGTGTTGCTTTCAGCAGGGCTGCCGTGCTGATGGAGACCGCAGGGAGGCCCACCCTCCCGGACCACCACTGCCCTGCTGCCTCCAGTGGCTGTCATCAGCTCTGTGCGAACCCCTCCCTTATTCCCCATTTGTTCCTCCAAGGCCCTGCCAGAGGACAGGAACAACACAGGACACCACTTCCTAGAGCCCCGTCCTGCCCGTCCTGAGTGGCGGTGTCACCCCTCCGGCCCTGTCACCTCGGTGCTCAGCTCCACCAGTGACCAGCCAGCTCTAGATCCTCGGTGACCTTCTCCGAAAGTGAAGGGGAGGAGGGCTGAAACGCGGACCCTGCACACTGGGCAATGCTGGGACCCCTGAGGGGGCTGAAAGGAGTGGGGTCTACAGAGGGGCTGTCCTCACACGGGCTATACATGTCCTGAAGGGCAAAGGCTGCACAGGATGTGTTTTGACTCACTACAGCACGATCCGGAGGAAGACCCTGGGTCTGGGATCAGACCGAGCTGGGTGTAGACACTGGCTCTGTCACCTACTTAGTGACCTTGGCAAGCTATTTGACTTTTCTAAGCCTCAATTTCCTAATCAATAACATCAGGGTAAAAAACCTTCAACCTGCAGGGCTGCTGCCAGGATTAAGGATAATACACGTACAGTGCTTGGTATGCAAATAGTGCTCAATAAATGCAGTCATTGCTGTGTTACGTGGATGGAAAGGATATTTCAGTGCTCTGACATACAATCGCAGTTCCTTTTGCAAAGGTCACAGAGATGCTGACTTGACAACTAAAGCTTTATCTTTATTATCAAACTCAAACCGTAGAGATAAATTGTATGCTTTTAGAACAGCTTGTAAATTCTCATTCAAGAGTACACTGTAAATAGAATGCAGACTCATAACAAGGGTTTCTTAGCATTTAAGCCAGTTAAGAGGCTCTGCACTCAGGAAACCCAACAACCAGCTTTGAGAGGATAACTTGCTGTTGAAAAATTCAACAGCAAACTTCAGAATTACACGGATGAGACCACTCAAGGCAATGTTTCAAGCTATGAAATTCCAAGGAGATAACTTAGGTGACATTTGCTTTGTGACAATTTTATATTGCTATTAATTTCATGCAAAAAAAAATATATGAACATGTTCCAGATGAACTGTTAGAAGAAAAATGGAATGCAGCGTGCATGTCTACCTCTATTATTTTGTCCCAGACGGGCCGGTGACCAACAGCGTCCCAGAGAGTGGCATGCCTATCATGCCCACAGGTCAAGAACTGAGGTTTTGAGGCATGGATGGCCAGTCCCCAGAGCTCATCAGTGTGACCCTACAAAGAATCAAGACAAACGGAAGCTCTCTGAAATGCTACAATCAACACACAGGAGCCATAAAGTATGATTAACCATGGCTTACTGCATACTTCATAATTGCTCTCACTAGTTTCTCTTCCTCCTCAGCTTAACCTAGGATAGCAACTGAAACTCTGAAGCTGAGGGAGGTTATGTTAGGGTAAAACACAGGAATAATCGCCTCTTAGTAAAGCTTAATTATATTCTAACGTGACATAAAATGAAAGTGTTTGGTGGGCCTTCTGAGCTGGTACGTACCTGAGTGATGGGGGCAAAGTCCCCGGACAGGGTGCCCTGTAGAACAAAGTTTCTAGTTGTGCCTATCAAGATCACATCACCTTTCCCCTCAGCCACTGTCCGTATGGGACCAAACTGTTCTGGAATCTGCATGGAAAAGAAAATATTTAAAATGTCATTAAACTATTAGCTCCATCATTCAAAATATCTGTGTATATATCATCATGATAGCTCCTATCACAGTCTCTCTCTCTCTCTCTCTCTCACACACACACACACACACACACACACACACACACACACACGGAGAGAGAGGTCCACAACCAGTACTTGAGTGAATGATCAAAACCCCAAATCTTACTTTTATTTATTTATTTATTTTTATAATTTTATTTATTTATTTTTACCCCCAAAGCCCCAGTAGATAGTTGTATGTCATAGCTGCACATTCTTCTAGTTGCTGTATGTGGGACGCAGCCTCAGCATGGCCAGAGAGGCAGTGCGTCAGTGCGCGCCCGGGATCTGAATCCGGGCCGCCAGCAGCGGAGCGCGCGCACTTAACTGCTAAGCCACGGGGCCGGCCCCCAAGTCTTACTTTTAAACCCCAAACATTTTATATACCTTAAAAGAATCAGCAAGAGTAAGGCTGTTGAAAAAACAATAAAGAATAAAGCTATCATATGATCCAGCTATTCCACTTCTGGGTATTTATCCAAAGAACATGAAAACACTAATTCGAAAAAGATATATGTACCCCTATGTTCACTGCAGCATGATTCACAATAGCCAAGACGTGGAGGCAACCCAAGTGCCCATCAATGGATGAATGGATAAAGAAGATGTGGTGAATACACACACACACACACACACACACACACAGTGGAATACCACTCAGCTGTAAAAAAGACGAACTCTTGCCATTTGCGACAACATGGACGGATCTTGGAAGTACTATGCTAAGTGAAATAAGTCAGATGGAGAAAGTCAAATACCGTATAATTTCACTCATACACAGAAGATAAAAACAATAACAACAACAAACAAACACATAGACAGAGAGAATATATTGGTGGTTACCAGAGGGGAAAAGGGAGGAAGGCGAAAGGAGTTAAAGGGCACATGTGTACAGTGACGGATGGTAATTAGTGTTTGGGTGGTGAAGACGATGTAGTGTACACAGAAATCAGAATATAATGATGTACACCTGAAATTTATATAATGTTATAAACCAATGTTACCTCAATCTAAACAAAAAAAACATAAAAAAAAAAGAATAAAGCATTTTTTCTTGACAAGATTAAAAAATAAGAAATACTATTGGGTAGTTTACTCTTTGCTTGTTATGACTTTGGATAGCAATAACAGGTTAAATTTGGAAAGCAAAGAATAATATAACATGCCATAATAGAAGGTCCCCAAACTTATCATAACTTAACATGGTAAATGCTTTGGCAACTTCACTCTATTTAGTTTTGAAATCCATTGTTTATGTTGGTAAACATGTGGAATTATCTAAATGTTAAGAAAAAGAATTTCAAAATACAGCAGCCAAGACTTTGGCAGGTTCTAGACACTCTGGTTACAGAAAGATAAGCGGCAGCCACTCTCATGCAAACGTTCTACCTCCAGTGTGGTCTGTCAGCACAGGTTTGAGAAATGGTGATGACAATCCATGCGAACAAAGAATTATAGACACTGAAAACTGGTGAGTGTCTTCTATGAAACTAGATGAGGACTTTGGAGCTTTGGTTGCCATTATAACTTAATATGGGCACACAGTCCATCAAATGCTGGTCTAATCTTATCATAAAAAACGCTATCTCGTGAAAAGTCTCCATGAAAGGGGAAGTGATTTCCAACGCTCAGATGAAGGCCTTCCTTTATTAAGAGTAATAATCAGCAAAACCAAATTGTCATCCTGCCAAAGCACGTTGCCACGCTGCTCTGTGATGTAATGTGTGACAGCTGTAAGGTGGCGCGCTTGACTTAGCAGGTGGAAAAGTTCTACAATGTGTCCATTCTACGTTAGGGATGAAGACCACCAAGCTTCAGACTGATGCTGACCTAGATGTCTGTCTGCTCGTAATTTCCCGGGGCCCCGGGGGGGAAAAGTCAGTGACTGTGTGGAAGGAATATTAAGTTTCTTGCCTCTGGCTCCTCCTGGCATGCAGGGCCGCTAGCCAGGTAGCAAGGAGGTGAAGCAAATACTAAAGGGAGTTAGAACTCAAGAGCATGTGTTGGCACTCAGCCATGTACAAAGTAGATACTCAGTAAATATTAGTTCAAAGTGAGAATGTTTCCAAAGCAACATGCTGGACATTAAAGTGACAAAGGAAGAAAGATTTTAACGATAAATCAAAATGTGGATAATATTCCCTTGGAAAAGTGAGGTTGGTTCTAATATAAAAATATTCTAAGTGTGAAATATGTTACAACCTCAAATTTTATAAACCTAATTTCATTTTAGTAGTTATGCTTAAATGCCTCTGTGATTTTAATAAAATGTTACCCCATTTAATAAAATTTTTTCTCAACAATTTTCAAAACTGTAAACTAAAGATTTCAAACCAGCAAGGAAACTGGTCAGTATAACAGTTTAAGGTTCAAAATAAATTTCAACAGTACCACCTGCTTCCTACCTCAGTTTTATGAAGTTTCTGATAGTTTCCATTCCAGGAAATGAGCTTTCGGTCCTTCCCTCCTCCTGACACCAGCGTGCCGTCCCTTAACATACAAAGTGCAAAAATGCCACCCTCGTGGGCCCCTTGAACTGCATAGCTTATTCGATTCGTACCTAAACACACCGAGAAAACCATCCTCAGTACATTGTCCAAAGGCTCATCTCTGCCCATCTCATTTCATTTTTGTTTTTTTTCCAACAATTTTATTTATTTATTTTTTCCCCCAAAGCCCCAGTAGATAGTTGTCTGTCATAGCTGCACATCCTTCTAGTTGCTGCATGTGGGACGCGGCCTCAGCATGGCCAGAGAAGCGGTGCGTCGGTGCGCGCCCGGGATCTGAACCCGGGCCGCCAGCAGCTGAGCGCGCGCACTTAACCGCTAAGCCACGGGGCCGGCCCCTCATTTTTGTTTTAAAACGTGATATTGTCGGTTAGAACATCGTCGCGTGAATCTATGAAGGATCTAATTTCTAGAAGTTCACAGAGCACCAGACAAGCATGAACTGGATTACGTTATAATTAAGGACAATATCTGAACACAAAGCACAGAATGGTGAGAGCACAATGGGAGTGTGTGCGGCTAAGAACAGGGACCCTGAGTTTAGACCCTCATGAGCTGAGTGTCTCTGGACAAGGGACTTAATCGCCCTATGTCTGTTTCCCCTTCTGTGTGATGGGGCCACTGCTTATCCCACAGAACTGTCCTAAGGATGAAACGAAAAGTAGGGATATCACAAAAGTCACCATATTATTCTGAAATTACATTGATGGCTCTGTTTCTACCTCCAACCCACACTCTACGATCCTTGAGGACCGGGACGGTAGATTTTTCCTTTTTTCCTGGCACATGGTAAGCGCTCAAAAGCGCTCACTGAACTTAACTGAATGACTGTTCTCTGAGTAAGAGTCCTCATTAGTGCACTGTTTGCTCACTGACCGCGGGGGATGCGGATCTGACTAGTTTGTAAGCTCACAGCGTTCAGCACGCTGCTTCGCACATAATCGGTACTCGGCAAAGGTCTGCCAAGTGCCATGTGAGCCAGAACAGTTATTTAAATATTTTCTAGATAAAGAACTAGTCATTGAGAACTTCATCATTATAATGTGTTAACAGATCTCCTAATAAAGCTATTAATTCCATCGTAACATCTTGGGCTTAAGAAGCCTCTTAGAATGACAGAAGCTCAACAGCTCTGACTGTTCTTGTTTTCCTCTGTTGTAGTTTTATGGTTTCAAGTTACACACACGTATGTACCTGTAGAACTTGGAGTTTAGTAGTAAACCCAAACATCATCTTAGTAGACAATTCTTACACATGTCATGTTTGACTTCTTACTTATCACATCACCAAAAAATGTTTGCCTTGGGAACAATCACTTGTTACCTTTTCCCCATACCAAGATGTTGCCACTCGAATCTCCGGTAATGGTGTCACCATTTTCAGAAAAAGCCACACAGAGGACAAACTTTGGCTTTTCTTGCTTCTGCAGAATGTTGTAAATAAAGACATATGTTTAATCAAGACATCCATTGGTTTATATTGATAATATCTAGAACCACAGTAATCCCAAGCTGGAGAGTGTCAACTTCTGCTACCACACTGTGTGCCTCTCATTGTTATCTACCATTATGTGACTTATGCCATGAGATTATCTGCTCTAGGAAAGAGAAATTTCTGGCACTTTTACAGTTGCAGACAGTTCAAGCAGAGGAGGGTGTTGGAGGGGCTAAGGGGCAGGCTGTGTTGTCATGACTACGGCCTGAGGAACAGGGCCCTAGCACCAGAATAAAGTGGTTCTCTCACTCAGCGAAGGCCCCACAGGGCAGAGGTGCTGGCCCTGGTGCTCTCACAAGGCGCCCAGATGGCCAGATTAAAGGGACAGAGAGCGTCTATCACCCTTCATAAAGGCAAAGACGCATTGCCCATTCTCCTGGGTGTTGTCTTTGCTGCTCTTTGCAACCAAGCATGCCCTGGTGGAAGCCCCACTCCCTGGGGCATCCTTTCCCTGTGCTTCTCCCCGTGTTGGCTCATCCTTCCTTCTCAGCATCACCAGCGTTATGCACAAGACACAGGAGCTCCCCAACCCCATGAGGGATGCACCCCCACATTTGCCAATTAAAACAAATTCTAAGACCGGGATGTCGCAAAGTTCCCTTAAAAGCTAGCTGATCATAAGTACCACTCAGTGAAAAACAAAACTGCAAATGTAATTTAACTTTACCTCAAATAATCCTTGCTTCTTAATAAGGGAGTTTCCTTCTAGTGTCCAGAAGTAGAGATGTGATTTTCCACAGGTAACTATTATATTGGTGTCAGTGGGGTGGAAATCCGTGGCAAACACAGCTTCATTAGAACACTTTAGGCAAAACAGGAGAACCAAATGTCTCAAATCTCTTAAGACACTTAAGAAAATAAATAACATCTGAACTGCAAATAAATAACTCATTCAAGTTAAGCACTATGCCTATTGATGTTTTTCCCCATTGAATTCATCTATAAACACTAAACTGCTGTTTGCTGCGTGCCCTACCTTCTCCTCCTTGTCTGTCTCCCCTGGACAATAGCCCCTGAGGACAGGGACCACCGAGTCCTCTCACAGGGCCTGGCACAGAAGAGGCACGCAGCATGCTTTCGCTGAAGGGGTGGATCGGGGCAGCTGGGGACTTAAGCACTGTAAGAATTTGCTCTCAGCTTCCTGTCACTGATTTCCAGCCCTGGCTGAACAACAGAATCACCTGATGTGTGTTAAAATGCTGATGTCAGGTCTCCTCCCCATGCAGTGATAGGAACCTCCGAGCAGGGCCCAGGAATCTAGATTTTATACAGCTCCATCACTCCTGGCTCACTTTGGCTGCACAGTTTGCCCTGGTAGTCCCTCCTGGTTCTAATTTCTGGGACTCTGCTGGTGGTTCGGTGACCAAGCTGGGGGTCCAGTGTTGGGGATCTGGCTCTTTGGCTGCCACTTTACCACCCCTCACCCTGTTATCTTGATTTCCAGGACCTGTACCCTGGTCAGATGAATCTGACCCTGATTGTTCCTTCTGCTTGGTGATTCAGTTATATGTTCTTAAACCTGGATAATAACTTGCCTCTGATTACTTCCAACCTAGCAACATAGTAAGAACTTAAATACCTGACCAGAATATTAGAATGCAGGGGCTATAGTATGAAAACAGGTGTTAGGAAACACGCCTGATTAGAATACAGGGTCTGCATCCCAGACATGCAAGAGAGAAAGAGAGGTAGGTAAGGAGATCCAGTGGTAATCCTAATGTTAGGTCAGTAAGGTGATCTGATGGTAGTCCTAATGTTAGGTCAGTAAGGTGATCCAATGGTAGTCTTAATGTTAGGTCAGTAAGTTATCTAAGGTTAATGAATGCCAGGATGAGAAATCTGAAGTCAGTTCTATAAAATAGATCCAATGATGAGCTTAACAGGAGGAAAACATAAGAAAGCTTAAGGAAAGTTCATTGACATGGTGTGCAAAATGGATTAGAGGCAGTAAAGGGAATCTCAATCTTCCTGCACCACTGGGAGGGACGGGGATCTGCAGTGGAACTCGCTCGCCTTTCCCAGGTCCACTCAGCTGTGGACAAGCCCCGGCTGGCTGTGCTGACCTCTCCCTCAGCTCCTGTACTTGGTCCCCCCACGACTGGGCAGTGAGCACATCTCATTTATTACCACACCTCCAGTGCCTGCTCGACAATGCAAATACACAGTGGACACTCAGAATTCAGGGAATGAAAGAAAAAAAAGTGAACAAATTAAGGGTTGGATAAATTAAAAGGGTAGTGGCTGTAAAATGAGGAATGAGAAAACCTTACAGACGTAGTGAATAGAGGAAGAAAGCCTGCCAAGACTTGGGGGTGGAGTGCTAGGAGAGGAGGGGCGGGGTAGAAGGGATTCTTAGGTGGAGGCGTCTGCCTGAGGGCTGTGTCGGGAATGGGGGCCCATAAGCCCCCTGAGAAATGGAACCAGCCCGGGAGAGAGCCGGGAGGAGAAGGCTCCAAATGGGGAAATCATAACGTAGCCAATGTCAAGCTTGGAGAGAGACCTTCACGTCGGCCAGTCTTTCCTCCTTCTGCCAGTCCCACACAGACAGCACATGGTCGTTGGAGTCGTCCACAGCACAGAGACTGCTGCCTCCGTTCTGGAAAAAAAAGGCATTTGCAGGAAGACTACATTTGAGAATAAAATGGTTGAGTGTGATTAAAAATGAACATTAATTTTACTTTTATTACCGAGTCTGCTACATTTTAGTTATAGAATACTTACCCACTGCTTTTGAGACCTGCTGACTTGGGCAGACAGACAGGGAGAGCAGGTGAAGGTGGGGTGACGAAGGGACACGAGCAGGAGGGAGGGTCAGGGTGGCTCTTCACCACTGGTTCCATTAAAACCAGCCTCCAAAGGGGCCGCAGAGCCCTCCTCCTGGAGGAGACGGTGCCCGAAGCCCACCCAGCACAGGTCTGTTGCTAACTGCGGGCAGGGTTACCATAAGGTTGTGCAAGGAGCAATAGCATTGGGGGTGAGGCACGTGGTATTTTCATGTGAACACGTGCTCGCACCTGCGAATGTAAGTTTCTGGACTGGCTGAAAAAGTGGTTTGAAGGGTGGGTCTGTTGAACAGGTACATCCTGAGGAAGCCTGGGAGACCAGGAGGCCTGTCCAACCCCTGCTTATGGACAGGCAGCGAGCCAGCCCGCATGGGAATGGCAGAGACACGCTGGAGGCACCTACGGAGGTGCGGGTGAAATTCAAGGTGAGGGGACCTGGGAAGCAGCAGGGTTTCAGAATTTAAATCTGGACATAGACTCGGGCAGTTACCGAGCGTATTAACTCTCTCTCTTCAACCTTGAGCTGATTCTCTCTTCCCTACGGACAAAGGCTGCAGTACCCATGGGGCTCACACTTACGGATTTTGAGAATGCAATACAGGTGACAGCTCTGTCAAAGAACCCGATTCCGATGACGTGCAGTGTATTCAGTGTCACAGAATCCCAGATGCGCACATGTGGGGGCAATTGCTGTTTAGAAACAAATGCAGAGTCACCAATTGTGCAGGTGATACGAATTTATCTTTACCTGGAAGCTACAAGATGACTTCAATTTTGTCAAAGCAAAAGGTCTTTTCCTGCATTTGAGGACTCTTTTAACATAAATAAAACATTCCCAATGGCTTCAGGAGGTCATGGTCCCTGTGGCCAACTTAACTTAAGGAGAGGTCTGCAAAGTTTTAAATTTTCAATAGCCAATTCTTGATAAGTGTATCACAGGAATTGATGTTCGAATTTGTACATCTAATGTGCCTGAATTTTAAAAACGGAAAATGACAAGGAAAATGGAATCTCATATAAGGGTTATTCTTTTAAAGTTTGCATTGTTATTAAGGTATAAGTATGTTTAACTTCATCAAGATGGTCACCACCAAATAGTATTAAGAACTTAACATTCTTGGGCCCCGTAAGAGCAAAACAGGCAGCAATTACGCACAAATAAAAATTTAGAATTGTTATGATTAGTTCAAAACCCTCTCACTTGTATTCCTAGGTTATTTGTACTAGTTTTTCTCTTCCTTAATAAAAAAAGCATCATAGAATGGTCAGCAGATTTACCAAGAAAAGGACTAGCGTTGTACCTAGTGGACAGAGTGGGGTTGGGTGAACTAGGTTCCAGTGTGGACTGGTCTCTAAGTAGCTGGGTGTCCGTAGACAGTCACTTGGCCTCTCTGATTTCTCCGCATGTAAATTGAAAGGATTGGCTCAGATAGCTGTAACATTTCCTCCGGCTCTAAAGTTCTGATTCAATTTCTACGCCAGAAACTGAAATACACTTTTAATCCACTAGAGGGAGGAACAAATGATTTACAACTATTTTCAAAGAACTTTTAAAGGTCACCTAACATTTAAAAAAAAGATGAAGACCCTGTTCCATCTATGTGTATTTACATAATAGTAGTCTGATTTCTACTGCTTCTATTACCTCTTTTCAAGTGTAGGATTTTAATGGAAAATAGTATTAATATTTAAAATCTGATGTTATTAAAATATTTTCTGAAAACTGGTAGCATAAAAATGGAAATATTTAATGTCGTTAGTTTCAGATCCTATACTGTGCAATAATGAGCTGTACAAAAGCAGCTATCAAAAAAGCTACAAGGAGTTTTGGATAAGACATGACAGTAACGAGACTCTGGTAAATAACTAACTGGAAGCCAGTTTTGAATCATTCTCAATTTGTTAAATTCTACTAGTTCTCTCTCTGATTCCTTAAAATACACATAAAGTCTTGCTGAAGTACTTACAAAACCTATGCTAAAATCCATCTAGCAGCCTTTGTGAATTGCACACAGACAAACTCCATGGGTTGAATTCATGATTACAGAGTATTCATGCAGAGAGTGTCTGAAACTTGTTGAAGATGCAAAATGCCCCATATTCAAATAATTATTTATTATGATTTTACCTTTATTTACTAAATGTGTACTTAACATTTTAGTGTTCATCGTATGTGTAAATACATACATTAAGAATTAATGAGTGTCTAGGCAAGAACAATGCTATTTAAAAATTGGCTGAAATTAAGGTGAACTCAGGATGGTTTTAAGGTCTTGGTAAGAATTTTGATTTGCAATAAAAAATTTGAATGAGGGATTAAGAAGTATTCAGATACTTTAATTATATCTAAGCAGACTTATTCTTCAGCAAAATGTTTTCAGAAAATTATTTTGTGTTATCAGTTCATTAAAAAACATGAAAAGATAATATAACTCACTTTTCCATCCTTAGATGTGCCTGCGACTTGTCCCGTTGCTATCGTGATCCTATCGGGATGAACTGCTAGGCTAAAAAAAGGATATTTATAAAACATCTACTCTTTAAGGTAAGCTTTACTTTTCCCTTGATCAAATATAATCCTGTCAAAAATTTAAATATACAGTGCTTGACTTCTTACAGACTCACGATAAATCCTCTGAGCACCCCAGTGATCTCAGACAACTAGTGCCTACTTCATGTCATCTTAATTCCTTTATCTCTAGAGAATTTTCAAACTCAAGGAAAAAGCATCCTCAGCTTGGAAAATACCATTTCAATCTCAGAACCAATTAATTAGTATACAATCTTTATTAGGAAGTCATTTTGAGTATATCAAATAGTAACGGCATCATCTCTTCCCAACAGGATTTTTATAACTGACCAGAGACTTAGGACAAACAGAAATACGTCCATCCATCTAGTCATCCATCCCTCTTTCCAAGATACATAAAATCCCTCCCAAAAGGTGTAAATGAATTATGGGAACAGCAGACCCAGCCATAAACACGAGGCAAAACATTTTTATTAGAAAATAAAGACCTAAATTAGATGCCATTAGCATGGGGTGTGTTAAGAAGGCCTCCAAATAGGGGTCTGTTAGACTATTTGTTTAGGTAACATGGTTGGTTAAGATTATGTGTTATAAGGAAAGAAAATTAAAAAGCTGTCTTAGAGAGCCAGGTAGCTAGTAGACAACTAGCTAGTAGATAGCACAGAACATAAAAAAGAGCTTTTCCCAAAGATCTTATTTTCTCAGATCCCTTGTCTTATCTTTAGTGATACCCTAATACCAAACTCTTTCTGCTAACACTCTTTCTGCTAGTGTAACACGTATCTCAGGTTTTGAGGACTCACCACTTCACATCATCATTATGGCCAGCGTAATGCCTCTGAAGCTGTTCCTCCACGTTGTACAACACGACCACTGAGGCGATGAAATACACCGTCTCGCCCGTTGGAAGCAAGTACAGGTTATTACGGCAGTCTCGACCCCTGTACCCATAGCTTCGTGTGTCAAGATAAAACTTTTTTCCCTTTAAGAGCTGACAAAACATCAGCTTTATTCATCAGGCACAAGCAGTAAAACTCTATATGACTATTACCACCAATTACTAATTTAAATAATATTAAAATGCAAATATTCGGTGCCAATACATCTGACTCCCTAAATAGGCAGGCGATAAAGTTGGAAATGGTCCCTGATTTAATGTGAATATATATTACTAAAAACACAAAGACGTCGTTTTATTTTTAGAAAGTATGTATTATATTTTGAAAGCCGAATTTTTCAGCTTGACCAAAAATGGTAATTTATTATTTTATTTACTAAAAGTAACTGGATCAAACATTTGTGAAGTGACTGGGAAGTGAACTCTTCAATTTAGTCAATCAATCGTGGATCTCAGAAGCAAGAGCCAGGGGCCAAATCTCTTTGTTGAACCGATGAAATTTTACGTGTAAGCCTGTCTTCTTCACACCTAGTCTGTCTTTATATTTTGCCAAGCGGGTCTTCTGAAAGGCTGACTACCATAACACTCTGCTAGACGGTACCATCCTGACTCTAGAATTAAAATCACCTGAAGTTGTATTTTGACACTTATTTCACAAGAATGCTGGAATACTTTGCTCCAATTTTTTCTCTCTCCTGTCTGCTGCCTTTCTTTATCACTTATGGTGTAACGATATCGTTTATCGTGTAACGTTGATCTCTAGTTATCACACTACTTGATCAGATCTACTTCCTTCTTGAATCTCTGATTTTTTAAAAGCAAAGCCTTGACACTGGGTACTAGAAGGAGCAACAGGGCCTGCCGAGTCTGTCCTCTCTCAACTCTCCATGTTATCGTCATCTTGAGACACAGCTACAGTTTGGGAACTCACATTCCCATTACCTTCTGGCTTAATGAGAGAGCTCAGCCTGGTTCTAGAATTGTGATTGGGAAAATAATCAAATCCCTAATATAGTTGGTAGCTTTTATGGCTTGTATGAAAAACAAAATATATATGAAAATGTTAAGTGACTAGATTGTTTCAAATATTAAACAGTGTGAGGTTATAAATCCTATTCCAAGGAAAAACTCTGAGCTTTGACATTCATTACATATTTTATTTATTTATTTATTTATTTATTTATTTAGTGAGAAAGACTGGCCCTGAGCTAACATCTGTTGCCAATACTCCTCTTTTTGCTGAGGAAGATTAGCTCTGACCTAACATATGTGCCCATCTTCCTCTATTTTGTACGTGGGATGCTGCCACAGCATGGCTGGATGAGCGGTGTATTGGTCCGAGCCAAGGATCCGAACTTGTGAACCCCGGGGCACCGAAGCAGAGCATGCAAACTTAACCACTACGCCACCGGGCCAGCCCGACATTCATTATATTTTAAAGTCTTTAAAAAGAAATTTTAAGCTACTGATGACTGACTTTTATATACCCCAGTTATAAGTCAATTATGAGTTTATTTTTTATTGTAATCTTGGAGTTAAATCTTTTGCTTAAAGAACTTTTTTTTATATTATAAAAATACTTGTAAAAAGTACAAACAACACGCACACACACATATATATATAAAACGTAAAAAAATTTAGGTTTTCCTTGCCCCAACCATTCCTAGATCCTTAGGGATTTCTTAACCTCTTAACCTCTAAGATTTTGGCATGTATACTTCCAAACTCTAAAAAATTTCCAAAGAATATGATTTTGTCATTTCAAATAGTCATTCTTCTAACTGAAATGACAACAGCTTCAATTTAAACCAACTTCTTATAATTTGTGTTCACGGCTTGGCATTAAACTGGTACTCAATAAATATTTCTTTGAGAGTAAAGAAAGGATTTTTGCTCTTTGTCTTAAAATCTAAACGGACTGGAAGGTGGCCTCTGTAGGCTTCCTCTAAAGTAAAATAAAATAAAATAGTAAAGTAAAATAAAATAAAATACGAAAACAACACAATTCACTTTTTCACAGGCTCTATTTTTTTGTCTTTCAGTTTTTTCTCCTTGGAAACTCATTCATTTTTCCACATTTCATACTCTCAAGGCCCCAGCAGCTCTATTTCAAGAACGCTGGTCATATGCCTGACTCAGATTTTTGTGGCCTAGGTTTTTTTTAAAGTGGTATTATAGCTCTGCTACATGTCGATTTTATTTCTGCCATTCATTGTGCTCCCTTCATTTAGTACTTCGCTATTTACACTCATATTACTCCTTCAATTAGTCAGTGTTAATCTCAAAGTTGGGCTCTCAAGGTTGGCCAAGTCCTTACTTGGTTTGAGGGGGGATGCTAGTCTCTCCTTGCAGAACATCTTTCTTTCTTTCTTTGCGTTTAAAGACTTTTTGCCAGCACGGTTTAGTTTCATGAACTTCTACAGTTAAACTTCAAGCTAAAAGCATTAATCAACTGATAATAATCAATGAATAAAGGATACACCCATTCCAGCTTAAGTCTCTTGGTTGGTAGTTCTACTTTTGTTTCCAAATTGTAAGAATCCACTTGATCTTTGGGCATGTACATGGTAACAGGACGTCCGCGGAGAAACATTTTTACATAGCCTTCTTCTACAAAAAGAACAAAGTTGTCAGTAAGACACCTCAGTGCCCAGTGTACCCGAAAACAAATGTTACATTTTCTCTAGCCTTTCCAACAAAAGTGAAAACTTTACCCTTCATGTCATTTCTGATTAATGTCCTAGGGAAAAATAACTAAGACATAAAGTTAAACAGTTTGAAACAAAAGTTTTCATCTTGTTTGCTTTGGACATTCTGCTTACTTAAGTACGTAGAATATGTAAGAAATTGTAAAAGGCAGGAAAAGAACTAAATTCCAACAATTATTTTCCATGAGAGATTTTAGTGCTTACATTTTCTTTATCATCAGGAGGGGGAAACAATGGCACCCCAAAAAATTACAACTAACACAGGAAATCCACTTAAACTTTTAAATTTTTCCCCCCCAAAGCCCCAGTAGATAGTTGCATGTCATAGTTGCACATCCTTCTAGTTGCTGTATGTGGGACGCGGCCTCAGCATGGCCGGAGAAGCGGTGCGTCAGTGTGCGCCCGGGATCCGAACCCGGGCCGCCAGCAGCGGAGCGCGCACACTTAACCGCTAAGCCACGGGGCCGGCCCTTAAATTTTTTATTGAGTTCAAAGTATATACAATTTCAATATCAAAATTCATAAAATATCTTTCAATACTTAAATTGGCTTGCTATAGCGCAATGTAAAAATGTGTCTTTACGTTTCTTTTACACTGGACAATTCTTTCAAGTGTAAAGAACACAAAATCAGCAGAAGTACATGCTAGGACGCGTGCAAAAAGGAAAATGCTCAAAGAAAAGCTAGAAATGGAAACAAAAGAACAAAAGACCCATTAGAGAGAGAAATTGGGAAATAAAACTTTCTAGAACAAACATTTCTATAAGAAAATAGCTTTTGATGTTTTAATATATTATAGGGACAGAAGTAAAACCCAATAATATATTGACATGGGCCAACTCCTGGACTTGTAAAATGAAACAACCTGGGGTCTCTGTCTAGAGTTTTCAGGATATAATAAGAGCAAAGAAAATGTCCTGTGAGCTCCTGAGGAATCCTGTTCTGATTCAGAACTCACTGTATCCTGATGGCTCACGGCAGATCAAAGGCCCAGGCCTTAATGGCATTTAAATTGGGCAGTTGGAACCAGGGATATCTGTACATAACAACATAAAAATCATCCGCAGAGAGGAAACTGGTGAGGAAGGTCATGGAATAATTACAGTACCGTAAGTACCACATTTACAAATTAGTTTTGTAAGTCTTATTCCTCAGGATTTTCAAACAATGCCACATGCAATATTGCCTAAAAATTGAGAGGCCATCGCGGTTTTATGCTACTGTGTGCATGCATTCAGGTTTTACATGCACGCATGTGACACACTCTCCACTCTGCATATTAAGTTTCACTTTTAAATAAGAACAATCCGCGTTCACTCCTGCAACCAGCGTGCATCACTGTGTTCTACGGATCCTCCTGTTAGAATGTTCTCACTGGGCTCTGTCCTGCCGGCTCCGCTGGGCCTGGCCCATCCGAAGCCCCATCACTGCAGGCTCTCTTAGGGCTCCCCTAGGTATTCTCACATACTGCTACAAACCCATCAAGGCCCACCCTGGATTTCACCGAGTCCCTCCTCCACACAAAATCCTGTGCCCGCTCTCTTCTCTGCTGGATCCGAAGGTCTAACCACCCTGCCCGGTGACATCATTGGCCAAAACCACCCCACGCGGATTCTCCTCTCTGACCAGTTGTGTCTTTCCGCCACCCTACATGTGTCTCCTGCTCTGTGCCTCTACCCACACTCCTCTCCTCGCCTGACCTCTTCCCTTCCTTCATCCCTCACCCAAATCTAAGCATATCAGGCTGTGTGGCTACCAAGACTGGAGAACCTAACAGCACCCAGCCGACCGACAGAAGTGCAAAGAGGGGCAGGCACGACCGATTCAAGTTAAATGAAAAGTGATTCCATTAATTCTCTTTGTAAGAGAGGAATCACAGAGTGTAGATTAGGAACAAAGGGAATACAATGCCATTCCACAACACACACAAAAAGCCTACTATGGACATATAATCAATGCGTGTGAAGTATCTAATTGAGTACATTGCAGTTATGTGCTGGTTAGGAAGTCCTTATGATTGAGGCTTGTGTATTGCACAATTCTAAATTACTGGATGAGGCAAGAAAGCACTGGATTTAGCCCTGGCACTGCTTTGCACCGGTAAACCCAACATTCTACATCTAAAATCAAAACGCAGCTGGGGAAGCCATGGTTTTTTCAGGCGTGTTAGGATTATAGCACACAACCACCAAACCCAAAGGCGCGAGGCGGGAGGCCAGTAGCAGTGCAGGGCAATATTTCAAACAGCGGGACATCCAGGGCTTGCCCTATAGCTCTCTTAAGGTTTATACAGATTTTTTAAAAGTTCTTGGAATCAGCCAATAATCAGTCAAGATCCAATTTATAGCTACTTATTAAAACCCATCCAGTAAATGCTCAGGAATGCTTTTCACTTAAAAGAAATCAAAGTGGTTTGCATCACAAAAACATTTTCATACAAGGAGCATAGCTGCTTGCCTGTATGAAAAAAGTTTCTGTAGCCTGGGGAACAGCCTTGCTCAGAGAGCTATGAGGTTTCAGAGAGGCGGCCTACCTTTGCAGTGTGTCACCCGGCGCTTGCCTTGGGATTTCGGAGACAGAGACAGAAGTGCTAGATAAAGAGACGGTGGAGTACGCAAGAGCACGGGCCTGCCTGCCTGGGGAGCACTCACGAGCTCTCTGGGAGCACTCGCTAGCTCTCAGTCAGAGATGCCACCAGCATCCTGGTAGAAAAACCTGGGATGCTAACAAGTGCCCTCAAGACCTATCTCTGCAGGCTTATGGTGATTACATTTTCAGTGAGTAATTTCATGCTTCCTGAAAATGAAATGAATACTAAAGCACATGCCGATAAACAGGAAACCCCGACTTTTATGTTTTAATTCTGAATTTAAGGAAAACTGGAAAATAAAATTAAATGAATTTATGTAACCAATGACACAGTTGTCAATTATTTTGCATTTTAAATGTGCTTCTAAATAAGGTTAATATCCTAAAGATAGCATCTACCTTATTATGAAATGTGTTTAAAAAAGATACATGGAAAGGCATATATGAACTATTAGTGTACAGTTTAGGAAAAGACAGAAAAAGAAAAAAACTGCTTGTAGACAAAGGTATAACTTGATGCATCAGCAACTTTCCCTTTCAGAGAAATGCAAATGTTGACGACGGTAGGGAGCTCCTTGGTAAGGAAGAAATAACAAAGGCAACAGAAGTCTTTTAACCCAGAAATTCCCTTTCAGCGCATGTGGTGGCATTTCATTCTTTCCCTTTATTGCCATATCTTAAATTGGCTGTAGAGGGGTCAGGAAAGGGTTTAGTCTTTATGACCTTTTATGAGTGGTCTCCGTAGATCTGAGCCCCGGACCCCCAGGTACAGGCTGACAGTTGGCACTCGGCCCATCAGCCTCACCACCCAGATAAAGTTCTGTGCGTCAAAAGCTGGCCCCTCAAATAGCTACTTGTTATTTGTCCCTCAAGTTCTGAGGAGGTGAGTAGAGGTACCCGCACAGAAATTAAATCACATACCTGCGCTGAAGACGGGCTCCTTGGGTTTGCTGTGGAAATAAAACAAAAACAGATTTTACAGGTAAGTTTGGGGGTTTAATCCCATCCACATAAGACTGCACTGTTGTTAGCTGCAGTATCTGTCCCACAGACGCTGCAGGAATGATACTCGTTAACAAGAAAAACCAAACTACGTAACCACCAAAAGGAACAAGGGTAAACGCAAGTGTCCAGAGCCAGGTGCAAGAGATTGTAGTCCCAACTTTATCACCAAAGCTGTGCTTTTTATGAGAACAAATAAACGTTTGGGGAAGGAAAACATTTGGTTAATCAAGATGAGAACAGCCTTGTCTAAAAACGTAAAAAAGTTTCTTTTCCTCATGCTTTTTTTTTTTTTTTGAGGAAGATTGGCCCTGAGCTGACATCTGTTGCCAATCTTCCCTTTTCTTTTTTCTCCCCAAAGCCCCAGTACATAGTTGTAGATCCTAGCTGTAGGTCCTTCTAGTTCTTCTATGTGGGACACCACCTCAGCATGGCCTGATGAGCGGTGCGTAGGTCTGTGCCCAGGATGCGAACCAGTGAACCCTGGGCTGCCGAAGCGGAATGTGCGAACCCAACCACTATGCCACTGGGCCGGCCCCCTAATGTTACTTTTCTCCTTCATTTTTAACCTCAAATACATAGAAAAACACCACCAGTGAAAATTACTCAATCTCATGATGTAGTAAATAATATTATTTATGGATATCCTTGATTTTCAGATAATTTTATGCAGTACGTAGAAGGAAATTCTTTACTGATGCTTTAAAAGTGGTTTGCACTCTGTTCAAATGTGTTTTAAGTAGTTGGATCTGCTACCAGCTTAGTTATCCGAACTCTAACCCTTGGTCACTGAAAATAGTACAGCCTTTTAACGTAAAAGCCGAAGTCTTCCACTGGCCTGTAAAGCCCGAGACAACGTCTGCCAGCCCTGGTACTATTCTGACCTCATCTGCTGTTGCCCTCCCCTCAGTCTTTGAGTTCCAGTCGCTCTGTGCCTGCAGTCCCGGGAGCGTGCCAGGAGCTCGTGTGTCAGGCGCCTGCCCTGGCTGTCCCTCCTCCTGGACAGCCTCGGCCCCTGCGCTGAGTCTGTGCTCAGAGCCACCTCCCGGGAGGCCTTCCTGATGCCCGCTCTGCAGCCTGCTCAGGCCCCGGCCAGCTTCACGTTTCTCTAGAGCACGGATCAGCCACATCGCGTCATCTTGTTTCTCCCCAGGAGGAGGCAGTGCCAGGAGAGCAGGGGTCTTTGCTCACTGCTGTACTCCCAGTGCCTGTAACAGGAGGCGGCTGCTGCCCGGAGCCCGGTGAGGTCTGGAGTCCTGTGGATTCCTCTTGGCTCTCCCTTCCTCAGACTTCAGCAGGCCTGTGCGTCTGTGTCTGGCGGGCGGGGGTGCCCGGCACCTGGGGGAAGGCCGGAGCACCAATGGAGTTTCCCTCAGTTCTTCCAATGCGTCCTCAGACCTCACTGTCCACCCTACCTCAAGGGCCCTCTATTCACTTTCCCCGTCCCTCCTGCAGAGGGGCCGGCCGCTGCCTGGTACCCATGCGAGGTCCACGGTGTGGAGAATTTCTCCGGGTTCTCCTGCTCAGCCCTCAGCAGACAGCAGGCCTCACATGACTGTGCCTCAGAGAGGGAGTCTTTCAGTACTCCTGTCCTGCTCCCCATCTTTGTCACGAGCTCGCGGAAGGTCTGTGGAAAAGGAGTGTGTGTGTGAAGATTCCCCTTGTGCCTGGGGCTCCCAAGAATTCTACACTGTCATGCCACTCCACACTCAGCCTTTCATAATTCTAGAAGCTTCCAGCTGCCTTCTTCTTACTCCCATCCATGAAGGCTCCCTTCTCTTCCTGCAGTTCTGCCAAGGATAAGGGCAGCTGTGGCTGTCCCTTCTAAGAGGGGCTTGTCACTTTTTAGATTTTAGTTCATCATATTACTTTGTGACCTGGGCTCCATGGTGGCTTACAACAGCTATGATTTAGTAGATTACCTGGCTGGTTCTCATTGTTGGGGGTAGTGGGGAGTGACACTCTGTGATTTTCTAAGTGGAAGCAGAAATCTTAACTCCAAATTTTGTATATTATTAGATTCACAGGCAGGGTAAGGACACAAGAGGAAAAGCTACAACAGACGACCTCAAAGCAAACCCACTAGTTACAGGAACATAACGACAGGGAAGCCAGGTAGGGAATCAGAAGATAGGAAAGCTATTTTTTCCATCACGACTTTGATCACAAAAGTAGAAAAATGCAAAAGCCATGAACACAGAAATAAGCAATCCAGAACCTTTCCTAGAGATAGGAAAGAGCAATTATGGATCATGTTCCTCTTAGAAACAGAAAATTCATAGGGGACTTTGAACTCCAAATATAGGCAGGCCCATGGAATTTGACGCTGAAGCACTGTAAGAGGAGAATGAAAGATTTCTATTAGAAGATGAGAAAAAGGCCTATGAAACAACTGAAGGTCATTGAGAGAGGTACCAGCTAGTACTAAAGTGCTCATATTTCTTTAAATCTTGCTCTAAACTTTGCATCACTTTTTTGGTAAAGTGTATTTAGAAAACATACCATTGCTATGTTTCATTATTTTAGAAAGTTAAATTTTTATAGAAAAAAATACTATATTTACTTAAGAATCCATTATCCCTGCTAATGCACCACCATCTTTCCTGAGGGGCAAGACAAGTATTATTCCACTCGTGCGAGCAAGTCTTACAAATACAAACCTACAAAATGACAATGAAGCTTCCCAACTACTGATAGAAGGGCAAACCCATAGAGTGTGTCGTGATAACAACGATCCAACGTTAAAGATGCTGTGGCCTCTAACCAAAATCAGTCCACCGGAGCAGTCCACTGAGCACCTGTCCTTCTAGAACTCACTGTCAACGGAGGTAAGAGTGGGTGCTTCAACCCCAGCACTATTTGAAACATGCTTGGGTTGTGAATTGATTTCGAATGGGAAACAACTGCCTCTCAAGGTGGTATGTATTTGGTCTCTGATTATCCATTCCTGTGTGAGTTACATGGAAAAACTTAAGTCCGAGGCTTCACGCTCCCTTGACAGCTAGGGTGTGGTTCCGTGGGGAGAAGGGTAAATAAACACTGGGACCAGAATGAGACATCATTCATCCCTACCCGAGTATGGAGTCAATACAGATGCCCTTACCCTCCCCTGAAGCCCATGACATAAGCGAGCTCAGAGGACAGAAAGGATTTCCCCTCCGGCAAGCAAACTCTCATGTCTTGGTTATTCTGGCATTAGGCTGTGGCCAATACCTCCAAAATGAACAGTGTTGTAATCCGGGGCAGTCTGTACTGCTCTGTTCTGGCAGGAAGGAGATTTGCTGAAAGAGCTTGGCTCTCAGCTCCCTTGAGCTGGTCAGCTCAGGAGACTATCCTAGGGACTCTTACCAGCTATAAGCCTAGGGGTACTGGGGAGTACCTGGGGACTCACAGAGGATGCAACGTAGGCTGGAGCCTTCGCCAGATCAGCAGCTGGATCTGGAGGCAGCAGGAGAAAACCAGACAGTTGGCCCAAGGAAAACGTCCCACCCTGAGCTTCGAGCTCACACCAAGGAAGCCGCTACAACTGCCTAGGCCTAAGTCATGGATGATCAAATCCCCGGAAACATTTACTGTGGACTTTGGGCACAGAGACTGTCTAACAGTGGCTGTTTTTCTTCATGTATGATGAAACTCACATTTGCCGCACTGCAGACTGGGTGTGTATAAGGAGGAGAGTGCAGCGGAGAACTTGTTCAGACTCGGATTCAACAAGGATCCGCGGCACTCCCCCTGTGGTGGGAACAGCACTTAGCACCTTCGTATCTGTTGACTAATTGACCCCAAGTTCCTGAAAGGGGCTGGGGCCGTGTCCTGTGCACTGCAGGTCTCTGACACGTGAGTGAGCTGTGTGGCAGGCAGTGCTGGGAGACTAGCATTAGTGCAGAACTGAGAGGGGCCAAACGCTCTCTGAGCAGACCCTTGCTTCTGAAAGCGACTGATAAGGCTTGATCAAGGAGGAAACCACTCTAAAGTGAAACTTGTTATTTCCCTGAAGCTTATTCACCTATCAAAACTTCAGCTCTTGGCATACATACCATGACTCCTTTTAAAAAGGATTTCACTTGATGAAACAAAATTCCTGCTGCAAGTCAAAATACTCAACTATGTAAATAATGATTCTTACATAAATTGCCTTTTTGCTAGAAATAGGGTCATTTAGGAACTATCTATTAAAAATGTTTGGAAGTCATTGGAGACTTTTTGGGGGACAAAAACTACTGCTTCATAGACATCTTCAACCAATACTTCCAGCTTAATGTGGCAGAGGAGCGCAGATTGTGAAGTCAGCTGGATCTGCGTTCTGGTTGGGCAAGTGGCTTCACCTCTATAAGCCTTAGTCTCCTTCATCTACGAAATGGGAATAAAACCGCTGTGGGGTATGGGGTATTGGCAGGATTAAATAAACCATGTAACCAAGCTCCCAACGCATCCTTATTAATTAAGATTACTTCCCTCTTCCTCTTAATTTCACTGACAAGAGCCCACGTATTTCTAGACTCCTCAGCTAACAGTCTCAAAACTAAACAACACAAAGAACATTAGCACTTATTATTTTAACATTTATTTGAAAGATAAGTGACCCCATGGCTTGAAGAGTGAAACAATCTTTTCAGAAAATAAAAGATGCTTAATTGAAGTCATCTAATTTTCAGTGCAAAATGCTTCAGAATCTAAAATATAGTGTTACAATCATCTACCAATAGGTGGTGCTGTTTACACAGTTCTTAAATGGCTACAGTTTTAAATGCAACATATCTCTTCATTCCTTCCATAAATATTTATTGAGCAGTTATGTGTGCCAGGCACTGTGCAACGTGCTGGTGATACAAAAAACAATAAGTGGCACAGCTTCTGCCCTCCCAGAGCTAAGGGCGTCGGGTGAGTGGGGAGAGGGTTATGGTTACAGATAAAGTTAATGGGCAGGGACAAGGCAATGAGAAAGGGA